TACATTTAGTGATACAAATATTGCAACTGATAAATCAACCGATTTTCTTCAGTGATAAATTTGCATTAAAATGATTAGAAAATTGAACAGACACTTCACAAAAGAGGATATCCAAGCAGCCAACAACCACATGAAGAAATGCTCAACCTCACTAATCATCAGGGAGATGCAAATCAAAACCACACTGAGATACCACCTAACTCCAGTCAGAATGGCAATTATCAACAACTCAAAAAATAACAGCTGCTGGAGAGGGTGTGGCGATAAGGGAACACTTCTACACTGTTGGTGGGAGTGTAAACTAGTGCAACCTCTGTGGAAAGCAGTGTGGCGATTCCTAAAAGCTCTAAAAATTGACCTTCCATATGACCCCACAATCCCCCTACTGGGAATATACCCTGAAGAACTCAAATCACTCTATAAAAAAGATACCTGCACACGTATGTTTATCACAGCGTTGTTCATAATAGCAAGAACCTGGAAACAACCATGCTGCCCATCAAAAGAGGACTGAATTTAAAAAATGTGGTACATATACACGATGGAATACTACGCAGTCATAAAAAAGAACAAAATCATGAATTTCGCAGCAACCTGGATGGAACTAGAGTGTATAATACTGAGTGACCTCTCACAGAAACAAAGATCCAAGTATCACATGTTCTCACTCATATAATGGACCTTGAACATCCAATGTAACACTATAAGAAAATGACTGACGGTACTGGGAAACTATTGGGGGGGGAGGGGGATGAGATTAACAGTAGCAAATATCTGTCTGGGGATGGGAAAACACCTCTTATCAACAGGGTGCCTGAATGAAACGTAATTGTACACCTAACCCTTAACTGTACCCCACAAAACCATAATAAAAAATATTGATTAATAAAAAAAAAGAAAATTTCTGTCACCATACATTATTTTACTGTTTTTTTTTTTTTGAGTTGGAGTCTCACTCTGTCGCCCAGATTGGAGTGCAGTGGCTACTCCCAGCCACCGCAGCCTCGACCTGCTGGGCTCCGGCGATCCTTCTGCCTCAGCCTTCCAAGTAGCCGGAATTACAGGCATGTGCTACCACACCCGGCTGATTTTTTGATTTATTGTAGAGATGAGGTCTCGCTGCCCAGGCAGGACTGTTTTCTTATGCAGTCTTTCCCCTATATTTGTCACAAGTATATGCAGATGACACTCAAATTTACTTCCTCAACCTAGATCTGAATTTCTAAGATAAACCTTAAGGTCTCTGACATTTTAAACTTAGGGTGATCAACACAAATATCAGTTTATCACCTTCACACTTTTATTATGAGTTTCTCCCTTTCTCTGGCTAATAGTGTCATCAGACTTCTAGTCATTCTGTACCTAAAAACTCCTTTTGTTTCTACTTTTTCCAGTCATATCATGTACTTTCTAGTAGAGCAGTCTTAAGCATCTTGTAGTTGCCCATATTCTCTCTCTCACACCCCACCACACATATGAACACACTAGTCTTTTCCACTGTTGCCACAATTTCTTTGGTTAAGTGTTCTAACATCTACCTCAAAATATGGTTTGTGATTGTGTACCTCCATAAGTCTTTGATATTTTCTTATTAAATGAAGTACTTTTTAAAAAAAATGGGCAACAGATCATTTATTTTCTTAAAAATATTGATTACTACCTTTTTTGGTAATCAGTTTCCTGTTAAACCTATCTATAACCATTTTTAGATAAGAGAGTGTCAAGTAGTCCAATTTAATCATATCGACAATGGGATATTGTGAACAGAATAGGCTTCACCAGCATTAACATAAATAGATTTACCAAAGTTCTCAGCTTTGTGATCTTAGGAACTTGATTTTGTTAGCACTCAATATGTGAGTGGGTCCTCCAAGATGCAGATGTCAAAAGGAGAATGAAATTGTAAGAATTATTTTAGAAAAATGCTCTTGTGACAAAAAATAAAGAGGAAAGCAAAAATAAAGAGGAGGGCTGGAGAACCCTCACACTACAATATCTGATCCCAAGGAAAGAGAACTCTGAGACTTCTAGATTGCCCTGGTGCAATGAACTTGTAAGGGAAGTTTGGCAACACAGTTGCGGAATCCTTGAGGCATAGTTAAAGACTGTGTCTCCAGGAATGGATGTATTTTAGCATCTAACTGCATTTGGTCATTAGCTAGAAGAAGCTCTTGGGGAGCATGGCCTTGGGAGCAATAGGATTTCAGAGCGTACAACTAGGGTTCTTGGTCAATTACGCCTGTAGTTACTAGTAAGTATTCTCTTGACCAACACAACCTGGAAGATAATGTATTTCTTAAAGCATAGTTCTCTAGCTAAGTTTATAAGAAACTTGGTTATGTATTAACAACAGTTGTTTTGCTTACACTAAGGATTAACAACCTGGAGGTCAAATATTAATATTAAGAGATTAGCAAATTATCTCCATGATAGCAGATTTGTGTCTAAGGGGTGAATTCCAGTGCAGTTGAATTAGTGAACGTGGACTCTGAACAAAGAGATTTAAATGAACAATTCAAACTATAATGACACCAGGCTATGACATTCAGATATACTCACGTCTAACTAAGGCTACACCTTCTCTGAGAAACATACAGATCACATCTGGACCTGAGAATCCTCCCACTGTACACAGCTGAAGAGAGGCTGCTGAATTATCTCTCTGAAATATGTCTCTTGTGCTGCATACCAACTGGTATCTCTGTATTTGTCAGCATTTGCACAAAACAAACCACCATAAAGCACTGATCTATTATCTATTTCTCCTGGTTTGGGGGTTGACTAGGTGATTTTTCTGTTCTCCACCAGCTTGACTGGAACTGGATGATTTATGATAGCTTTACTCACATGTCTGGGGACATGACAGGGTGGCAGGAAGGGCAGGGAAGACTAGAGCCTCTTTCCACATGTTCTCTCCTCCTGCAAAATGCTACCCTGGGCTGCTTTACCTGTTGGCATGGAGGTTTCCAGTGAAAAGAAAGGTCAACCCCTATTGCACAAGCATTTTTCAGTTCTCTGCTTTTGTCATGTTTTTTTATTGTTGTTTTAGCTAAGGCAAATCACATGGCATCCCAGAGTCAATTATCGAAAGGTCTGGATTCAGGGAGCCCTGAAAAAACTAGAATATTCTTACATCATCTTCCTCTTCCTTTTCCTTCTCCTCCTTCTTGTCTTCATCCTTCTCCATTTCCTTCCTCTGCTTCTTCACCTTCTTGTAATTATACAATGACAAAGAGCACAATTGCATTCCTACATTTTTTGATTCTGGCATTAAAAAATATATATGTGCTTGGGTGCACTCTTACATGTTGAATTCATCTTCAATTTGTTACTTTTCCTCCCAACCCTCAGGTTGCCAACAATGTCAACCCATCTCTTTCTATGATTCATAAAGATCCTGAGTGTTCATGGGTTTTCCTCAGAGAAGAAGCTACAAAGATCCCCCTTTAAAACTGATATATTTACATCGGAAAATTATGAGATTAATGCTTTATTTGGATGGTACCTGGTCAGTTCACTCAGTAGTAGCAATTCATTATGTTCTCTGATTCTAATAAAATAATAGATGTGTTTATTCTTAAGTTTAGTTGTTGCTTGAATGTGAAAATTAGAAGGTAAAAATTGGATAATATGTGGATTGTTAGAAACTGTAATTTTCTACTGCAGGGCTCTTCTGTAAGCTTACTATGTTGAGCCTATTATTACTATAATCAGGTGCTTAAGAGGATAAACATGAAAGCAACATGCTAAAAATAAAAATAAGTAAGTGCTTTGGAGCTTTTGGCTTATAATCTAGGCAGTTTCTAAAGTATGAGGCAAAGCTAGGTATTAGAAATCCTGGTAGGCTGGTGACATCCCTGCTGCTATCCCTGGTGTGGGTGACTGTACATAGTCTTCCTTTTATATTACTAAACTACATGTATGCAGAACTACATTGACATTGTTTGGTGCAGTTGATACACTTAACTTTTAGTCTCATTGCTAGGCCTCAAACATTATTCCTGTTGACCTGCCCTCAACAACTTTTCTTGTCTCAAATCTTAGACACCTCTCCACCATTAGAAAATCCACTAGATTGATTTCAAGTAAACATATGTTTAGGGAAACGTAATTAATCTGATCAGTCATTTGGCACAAGTAACTAATTACTCAATTTTGTACTGTTCAACCAAGGAGGTTTGTCTGTATGTATGTTAGTTAGTAAAAGGAGAAAAAGGTAAGGCTGGCACTTTTTTTTTGAAAGTAGCATTTACCTTTAATGATTCAGATACACTCTTTGGTCTGTTGAAAGGATTGGTACATTTTTACCCCGATGAAAGATAAAGATAACCCTTTTGACTTTGACCAAATCACTGGCTGTTGTTGTGAAATCCATAGCCTTTGGCTAAGGCTCTAGCATTCCATTAGCCAAATGCTAGAACATGCAGAAACTTGTGTTTAAATGTTTCTCATCAAGTTTTTTGGTTGGATTCTACAGCATTCATCCAGTTGTCTGAAATTGAGCTGTATTATTGCACGTCTTGATGGTTTTCATACATGCTCAGTGTCTACTCCGAGCCTTGGGATTGCGCCTATTTGGTTCACGCATCAGGAGCTATTGGTCTATCATGCAGTCATTCATAATCTATACACAGTCATACAAATGAAGTTGTTTTTGTAATTTTCATGCTAACAATCATAACCTTGGTACAGTCCACATTGTTATTCTATATTGCTATCTTCCCTTTTCTAGCTAACACATTAAGTGATATCTAGGTAAACCTAATCTGAAGTCCTGCTGAGTACTCCTTTCATAAAAGAAACAACTTGAGTTTCTCTTTATGAAAATAGAAATTTAAAGTATCTATACTTTTTAGTCATTTTAGATTTTTGTATATAAGACTCAAAAAAAGAAAACAAAAACAAATAAAATCTTCCTTTCTTATTGTGATTTTTTTTTCTAGTTCTGAGAACCCCCATGTCCCACTTTTAACTCGTCACATCATGTGTTTTTCTTCTAGGACTACAATGATGAAATTCGTCAGGAACAACTACGTGAATTGTCTTACTTAAATGGTTCTGAGGACTCTGGTCGTGGCAGAGGTATTAGAGGCAGAGGCATCAGAATAGCTCCCACAGCTCCTTCAAGGTACTTTTTTTCTTACTTAAATAAATTAACAATTAAGGACACTGGCAGCTCTTTTCTGTCCTGCTGTATGTCACGATCACAGGTAGGACTAAACATCAACGTCAGTAACAATCACCACCACAACAATAAAAACAATAGCAAAGAATGTTACAGGGGAGAAACTGAGGTACAGAAAGGTGTATGAAATTTACTGAAGGTCACATAGACAGTCTGGTTTCAGAATTTACAGTTCATGCTCTTAACAACTACCCTTAAAAATAAAGGCAGCCAACCTGAGATTTTCATTTTTTGGTTCTATCCCCAGGATTAGGATATACAGATGATACAACCATTTGCCTCTTTGAAACCACATGATCTTGTATGAAGAAAAAACTATAAATTTTGTCTGTGCTTTGAAAGGTCTTTTAATAGACATAATCTGGCTGGGTAAGGAGGCAAATGACAGGTAGGTAGATACATACATACATACATACATACATACATACATACATGCATGCATGGATGTACAGAGATTGATATAGATCATATATATGCCATCATCCCAGGAAGCACACTTCTTGCACTACTGAAGTTAGGGAATTTCAAGTTCTGATACATTTGATTTTATAATGTCCTTGGTGATCAGAGAGGATTTTCTATTCTCACTATGCAAAGAAATTGGAAGCTTTCTGTGCTGGAATTTGTTTCATAAGATTCTGAATTGTTCTGGCTTTCAGCAGAAAGCATTGATTTGAAAAGAGGTAAAGTGAAATAATACTCTTAGCCTTCACACAACTATGTAGTTCATTCTCTTCATCTTGTTATATGTGGCCTTTAAATCTCTAAATGACACAGATCTAGAATATTATTTCAAATATTACATAGAAATTATCTTAAGAGATGCTAAGATATTTTGCAGAGTCTATTTGCAAATTAAATTATATTAAATTTTCTATTTGCAAATTAAATTCTATTTGTAAATTAAATTACACCCCCAAATATTTTCCCCACCACCACTCAACTTAATCACTAATTTTAAACACTTAAGTCATAAATATTTCAACATGTGTCAGAAAAAAAAGTTAATAATGATAAAGTTCCAAATAGCATATCAAGGAAATAACTGACTATAGGTAAAATGTGGAAATTCTAGAAATTATATTTAGCTAAAAGCAGCACATCTGAATGTGTTGTAGAACTTATTTATACAACTTTATCTTTAAAAAATTAAAAGCAGAGCTCTCTAATGTGGTCCAGGATCATTTGTTTATTGCTAAGAATTAATGTGACAATGCAATACTGTATTTTTTTAAATGGGTTCAGCGTTTTATAAAACCCTGTACATTTCTAACCTTATCTTGCTGGGTTATGAAATGACATCATTGCAAATCATCTTTAATGGATTGAATCATGTATGTTAAATCAAATGAAACTGCCACTTTTGTAGTTCAAAAAATGCCAATTGTAGCTGTCTTATGTGGTTTATCCTAATATATATTTAGGAAGTCTAGAGAGGGCACACTATTTTTTAATTGTATATTACTTGAAATTGGAATGATTTTTTAAAAATAATGCATTTATCTGCTTTTGGTACTAGCAGGTTTATCAATTTTTGAAATAGCCTAGAACTGCCTTTTGATATTAATAGACTTTGTTTTGTTATTAACATTCCTTAACAGACTATTGCACTGGCCATATTTGAATAGACCATATAAGATTTTATTTCAGAAAGGCTTTACTCTAAAAGTTTAATATGTTTAATAATTTAATAAAGAATAGTGCATTATGGTCTCGATTTTTAAATATCTTCTTTAAAAATTTGGTTGAAAATTTTTACTACTTAATCCCATATAATGCAGATCTGATACTATATACATAAAAGAAAAAAATTAGCATTAAAAATAAAATTTTACATCCAGTGCTGTATTGTTATCATTATGGTATTAGCATTAATGAACATAAATAGAAGAGGACCTTCTTTTCTTCTATTTCAAACAACATAATGAATTGTATCTACAATTTTAAATAAAGATACATCTTTACAAAACAGAAAGTCATATTAATAAGAAAGCTTTGGAAACCATGAGTTAACACAAGCTAATTGGTACATATTTGTGAAATTATTACTTTATTAACTTAATAAATGCACTTATATTCAAAAAGATGGTGCCTAAAATAATTTTGAGATGACAATAATTTGTTGAAAATCTATTTAAAGGAATTTACATTTCAATAAACATACTATCTAATCTTCTAATAATAATGCATACCAGAGAATAAAGCATTATACCTGTATATTATATTAATTTATTTTATGTAATTGAAGAATGATAACACGTGACATGCTTATCACACATCACCACTACACATTGCAGTGAGCACAAGCAGTGGAAAATGAAACATTAGGGCATATTTTGAAGGCTTTTGTTTACTACAGTGAGAACTAATACACGGACCTAATAGAGTTTGTTAAAGAGTAGAGTAATCATATTTACTTCTAGGAAAAACTGTCTACACAGTCATCACTGTGGATGGTGCAGAAGAGTTCAAGTGATTGAGAGTGAAACAGAGAAAGAGAAAGAGAAAGACAGAGACAGAGACACTGACTTACTATAGGGGAGCCGAGGAGAATACAAATCCATTTTGTCTTGGAAAATATCCAAGACAGGAGGAACAAGCAGCACTTGGAGTGTGGAGGGATAAGGCCAGATTAGATATTAAAATTTATAGGAATTAATGCCAATCAGATATTGGAAAAGAAGTATGGCCCAAGACAAAGATAACTCTCTGGTGTCCAGCCTGGTAAGAGATCAATGGTATCATCAACTAAGATTAGGTGAAGGATCAAGTTAAATGAAGAATATAATTATTCTTGTAACTAATCTTAGCTCTATGGATTGCTAGTGTGACCTTGGGCAGGTGGCCTGTATTCTCTGTACCTTGGTTTCTCAACTTTTGAAATAGCTTAGAACTGCCTACATGAAAAACTGGTCAAGATGCTTAAATTAGATAATGCACACAAGGCAATGGTTCCCTAACTAGTCTATCCATTGGAATCACTGGGAGGGGGTCTCAGCCTCCAGAAGCTGTGCTTTAATTGACCTGAGGTGTGGGTATGGTCTATAATTTGTAATTTTTAAAAGACCCTCAAGTTGACTCTAACATGCAAGCAAGTTATAGAACTTCTGATATAAGGAATGCAAGTCAAGATGTAGATTATGTTGGGAAGGAAGCAGAAAATAGCCATCATTAGAGTTAGGAACTTCAGGCTGCAACTATAAGAGAAAGGATAAAAATTGAAAACAGAATAGACTCATATTCTAAAGGGGATCCAGGAATAGAAACCAGCGAAGGAGGAAGGGGAGTAAGAAAGAGGAAGAAGGAAAAGTAGAGAAAAGCAGAGTCATAAAAATCTAGAGAAATATTTTCCAGATAATAGTCCACTGTCTTAAATATAGCCGGGCTCGGTGGCTCAGCCTGTAATCCCGCGCCTTTGGGAGGCTGAAGTGAGTGGACTGCCTGAGTCTGCGGGTTCGAGACCCTCCTGGGCAACGAGACCTCATCTCTACAATAAATAAAAAAATCAGCTGGGCGTGGTAGTGCATGCCTGTAATTCCGGCTACTCAGAAGGCTGAGGCGGAAGGATAGCCGGAGCCCAGCAGGCGAGGCTGCGGTGGCCGGGAGCGGCCACTGCACTCCAATCTGGGTGACCGAGTGAGACTCCAACTCAAAATACATATATATATAGAATAGGGAGAAGCACAATCAGTGGATAATGAAAATTTGGTATATAGAGACAATGGAATACCACACAGCCGTGATAAAGAATGAAATCATGTCCTTTGAAGCTACAGGGATGGAGTTAGATATCATCACCCTAAGTAAACTGACTCGGAAACAGAAAACCAAACACCATATATTCACTCATGTGTAGGCGGTAAACAGTCACAAAGATGGAAATTACACACACTGAAGACACTAATGAAGGGGGAGGCAGTAGGGAGATGAGTTCAGAACTACCTATGGTGCACAATGTTCACTATCTGGGCCACCTGAGACTCAGTTCCCACCACCATACAATATGTTCATGTAACAAATATGCATGTGTACTTCCTGAATTGAAAACTTAAAAAAAATGTATAAATAAATAAAGGAGGTGCAGTGGCATGAGACTGGAAAAGAAGCTAGTGGAGTGTACTGCAAGCTCTTTAAAAAAAAAAAAAGGCAGCAGCAACTAGTGGATTTGGACCTAGGGACACAACGGACAATCTCAACCAAGGGTATTTTCAGCACAGTGATGAAAGTAAAAACTAGACTGATTGCATTCAGTTCAGGAACGAGTGGAAGGCAAAGAATTAAACATAGAAAATGTCCTTTCAGGAAGTCAGACAAATGAAGTAAAGAACACGAGAGTGTGGATTTAGTCAGGGGCAGTATGCTAAAATAGATGATGTGAATTTCAGATTGAATTGGAGGAGGGAGCAATGGGGTTAATATTCCAAGGAAAGAACATCGTGCATAGAAAGTAATGTGTCAGGTTCAGGACACAGGTGTGATAGGACTGTGTCTGAGAGTCAGTTGATGTAGGAATAGAATGAGAAATTAAATTTGATGTGAGCATCATATGATTTTAGAGCAGAGGAAGTAATAGACTCCCAAATCTGCATGTTGTTTATTAGAAAAAGAAATCTACCTCAGGTCTAGGCAGTTATGATACTTACCCATGATTATTCAGTGATGTAGCCAGGACTTGTGATATGGTTTAGAGTAGGGTGACCATATAGTGTATTACTCACACTTGGAAACTTTTGAAAGTGTGAGAATGCTAAAGTGAACAGGAAGCTAGGACAGTCATCACAAAATCTGGATATGTACTCATCTTGCTTATGAGGAAACAGACAGGTGCTTGCTGCTTGGAGACTCAGGGAAGGTAAAATTGGTCTTCACATCTTTTTTTATAAATGCATTTTATATTAGCATGATAATATAGACGATTGTATTCTCAACCATGTTGTACTTGAAACCAGCAGCAGGTTTCTGGGTCTTTTGTATTTCACCTTCTCCCAATCTAGGAGAGTGTTCTATATACATTAGACTCACAATCAATTCTCTGATAGTTTCTCTATTCATCAGCTCTATAATCTATTTAAAAGTTTTAAAAGCTTTACCAGCGTTCTTACTCTTCACTCATAAAAGCTCTTTTTCTGCAAACAAGAAAGAACTGACTGCTATTCATAGCAGAAAGCATAACCTACGTCCCCATATGTGGGTATAGCCAGCCAAACAGTGTGATTGTTGACATCCCAATGATCATCATTTTTTTTTTCCAAAGCTTTAGTGTTCCTGCTGAAAGCAGTGCTTTCTGGAGGCCAACCTTTCAGACATAATAAAAAGTGAAATAACAGTGCTTTTGCCCAAAGATTTCAGACAAACATTCAACCTTTCTAAAGGCTTCAAAATACCATAAAAGTTGGCTGCAACCATTTGATCTTATGCTTTTAGTGCGAGTTACTTTTATTATGAAGAACTACAGAACAGAGTATTCAGTCTATTCTTTTTATTGCAGAGTACTAACGTATTCCACTAGCACCATAGTTATCATAAGAAAATATATTCTGTCAGGGACTGCACAGGCTCAGGAGGTTACATGCATGATGATAAATCAGTGACAATGAGTTGTGATTTCAAGTGACCTCAAACTTAAGCTGCTATAATAAGCAGAATGATATCACCATGGTTAGAGCTCCACATTTTGTTAAAGTGCAGACAGATCATTTTTTTGGTAAATGACAGCATTGTGCATCTCTGTCAATGACCCTCCAGCATTGGAGGAGACATAGACATCTAGACGCTCAGCTTCATAGATGGTCCAGTGAGTCAGGTATCAGATGGTGCTCTGATTTGAATCTTCTTGGAAAATGTGGAATATAATCAGTATGAGTTTTTTCCTTATTTTTTTTGTTTGTTTTTTGGTGAGGTTTTACAGTTATAGAAAAGACAATATGGAAGTGTTTTGTATGGTTTTCATGAGAACTAATTCATAGCCAGTATTTATAAAAGTATTCTGTTATAGAGGTCAAAACACTATTTATTAAATAATCACTATTAAACACACACACACACACACACACACACACACAGAGAGAGAGAGAGAGAGAGAGAGAGAGAGAGAGAGAGAAATTTGTATTTCTTTCCCTGCATGAAGTCGTGAGATGAGAGGATTTTCTGTGATAGCCTCTTTCTCCTGTCACTTGTTTCTCATCTGCACATGACCTGTTTCTCCTAGGGGCCGTGGGGGCGCCATTCCTCCTCCCCCGCCACCTGGACGAGGTGTTCTCACCCCTCGAGGAACCACTGTGACCCGTGGAGCTCTTCCAGTGCCCCCTGTAGCAAGAGGTGTCCCTACCCCTCGAGCCCGGGGGGCACCAACAGTGCCAGGATACAGAGCACCCCCTCCTCCAGCCCATGAAGCTTATGAAGAATATGTAAGTACTCCATGAAAAGTCAGTTGTGAGGAAGAGTTAAATTGATTGGCTAACAGGCTGAGCCTCAAAACATTAGTGTGCCATGAATACAGCAGGTAATGATTGTTGCAGAAAACAAATGTCATTTGCAACATTTAAGCAGTGCATTTAAAGGACAGCATTTTGAGAAACACTTTCATTTTACAGGTGTCATCATTTAGTTTTAAATAGCCTGCATTTCAAAAGTCAAACTATCCTCAGGTTTTCTTACAAGGCGTGATCAGATTTCAAATGAGAAATAATTATAAACATAGTTTAAACTGCCATGTATTCATAGAATTCTGGGACTTCATAAAGATTAACATAAAGTTCAGAAATATTTGACAAATATAATGTAGCTATATTATAAACTTTGGTAATATTGTAAGACCATATGGCTGGTCTTTTGCTTGTATATCCTGATTTATTCTTTCTCTCTATTAAAGATATGAGTTTCTCTCCTATTTTATCCAGCATATCTCTTAGTCATCTGATATATCCAGGCACCTTTTGATCTTTAGTTCAGGTTGTCAGTATTTCACTGGTTACATTATGTCCCTTGTGTCCATTTCTCCTACTAGATTGGAAAACTTGTAAAAAGGGAGTTTCCTGTCATTCACTTGTGTAACCAAAGCAGTCCACTGTAGATGTTCAGTGGAACAGATGCAAGCCAGATCATCATCCTATGAAGCAGATTCATTTATTATCTCCAACATACCCAGCTCCTGACCTAGGCGTTTGTTTCATTCAACCACCCACAAACATGCTGTTCTCTTAAATGTCTTACGTGAATTATGACTCATTAAACATAAACTCTTTTAAGTACAGTTACTTTCACGTGCTGGGCATTCAAAACATACATGTTTTATGGACTGGTTAATAACCCATCAAAATTTTATTCTAAAATAAAGTGAACATAATTTATAATATCACTGAGAATATATTAATGCTTAGTGTATGTTTGTTTTGAGGATCACGTTACTGCTGAAATATGAAACATTGACTAATACCTGCAAGTGGGAAGAAAAATTACCAGTAGAAATTCACTTCTACTGGAACAGATAAAATATGTTCATTTTAAGTATCTTTAGTACATTATGCCTCATTATTTAAAACCTTAAAAAAAATCTTACAATTGCAATGCTAGAAACAGGAAACATATTCTATCCTATAAATAAGCCCACAAGTCAAAAAACACAAGGACTCGTCCTGATTCTGCCATCTCTTGCCTGAGACATAGTTTGTGCAAAATAAGGACTTCTTATAAAATGAAATAAAAATCTATAACGGTGTCATAGATATGAGTGTGTGTGTGTGTGTGTGTGTGTGTGTGTGTGTGTGTATTTTTTGTCTCTGAGGAACCTTTGGCTCCACAATCTGTATGTACACTGTCACTATGGTGGCTTCGTCCTCCAAATAGAGGCTTAACCAGATCATGGTTGGTTTGTTTTCCAAACATCAAAAAAAAGAGAGAGATTAAAAACTCTTCAGGTTACAGTGATCAACATTGTTATTAATCATATAATTTGTATGGCATATATAGTATATGAAAGAGAAAAAGACTGGCAGAATAATTGTAGCCTTTTGTGCATTCCAATTTATAGTGAATAAATCACTCATATATGAGTCAAATAAGAGTAAGTGACAAAAGTACAAAGAGTTTATGCAAATGTGGGTGGAAAAGGTGGTATTCTGAATGGGAAAATCTAAGAGGTGGATGTTTCTTAAAAAATAGATAAAAGAAAATATTAACGCCACGTAATCTGGTATTTTTACTTAGATTTTAAAGTGTAAAATTCCTTTTATTCATTCACTCAATCATTTACTGGCCCTCTTATCTCAGGTGCATTCAGAGGGTTCAGGAGATATATCTGTGAATAAATCACACCAAATGTCTGCTTTCAGAAAGCTTGCATTATAGTGGAGGAGACAGAAAACAAGCATATATAAATAAATGAATCAAGTAGTCAAGTAGAGATAAGAGTCTGGGAAGAGGAAAGAGTCCACTGCCATAAAATGGTCAGTTAGGGAAGGTCTCCCAAAAGGGAACACTTTTGAGCAAGTGCCTAGAGGAAGCAAGGATCTAGGCCAAGGGGTTGCATCTGTAAACAGCATCCCTGATAGATGAAACTGCAAGTATAAATGCCCCTGAAGTGGAACCTGTTGGAAATATTTTGGGATCAGCAAGGAGGGTGTCAAAGCTGGAACAGAATGTGTGAGGAACAAACAAGGATGGAGGGATCAATTCATGGCATTATAGGAAGGTGTGGAGAAGGAAAATGATGTGATCAGATTTATATTTTAAGAGGTTTATTCCAGAGGCTGGGCACGGTGGCCACGCCTGTAATCACAACACACTGGAAGGCCAAGGAGAGAGGATTGCTTGAACCCAAGGAGTTTGAGACCAGCCTGGGCAACAGAGCAAAACCTTGTCTATACCAAAAATTAGCCAGGCATGGTGGCACACCTGTAGTCCCAGCTACTTGGGAGACTGAGGCAGAAGGATCTCCTGAGCCCGGGAGCTGTGATCCTGCCACTGCTCTCCAGCCTGGGCGACAGGAAGGCTCTGACTCAAATAAGTGAATAAATGAATAAATAAATAAATGGTTTATTCTGCCGACATCATGGAGAATAGAACACGGGGTGAAGGTAGGCACACAAGTGGAAACAGGGAGACTGGTGACTGGTTGCAGTGTCCCCCACAACCCCTTATCCAACAGAATGATAGCTTGGAGGAGATGATCTGTGAGGCTCTGGTGATGGAATAAATGTGGAATGTGTGAAAGAGAGAGGAGTAAAGAATGATTTTTGTGAAGTTACCCTGACGTGAAGGCTTTTGAACTGAATAACTGGGCTCATCTGAGGCACCATTTATTAAAACAAAGAATACCAAGGGGAGAGTTGAAAGTTCAGTTTGAGAGCCTATTGAAGGAAACAGTTTGGCCCTTGGGAATGCCTGTGGGTCGCTGGGTGGACAGGATGTGGAATTTTGAAGCAGACCATAGCATTTCAAGGTTTGAATTCTAGCTGTGTCACTAGCTGTGCAACTTCGTGAATACTTTGAAGTTTGGATTTCTCTTCTACATTATGGGAATAATCATTTCAGCCCCTCAAGACTGTACTGAAGATTAAAAATAAATATCCATAAGCACTTACAAGTATATAAGAGGAGGAACCAAAAAAAAAAAAAAAACCAAACAAATTGTCTTTTGGAGGGTGGGTTCATTGTAGCACAGAAGTCCCCTGCTAGGCAAGTGTTCTAGGAACCCATCAGCATATCAGCTAGCATTGTTGTGAGAGGCTGCGTTAGGCTTCAGTGGATTTTTTTTTTTTTTAAGATTCTTTCAATGTGTTTGCCCATTTCATGATGGGTGATTTACAAGCGCATCTGCTCACACCCACTGAGTGTTTATCAGTTTTTGACCAAAAATGGCATTAGCCCCTTACCCCACTCTCCTTATTCATCTGATCTCTCCCTGAGGGACTTGTTTGTTTGTTTGTTTCCCTGGGTGAAAAAACATCCTCAAAGGGAAATATTTGCCAACTTGGAAGAGATGAAGCAACAAACGGCAGGATCCCTAAAATGCATCAAAATTGACGAGTTCAGAAACAGTTGTGAGCAGTGGAAAAAGCATCTTGGTAGATGTATTACATCAAACAGAGAGTACTTTGACGGTGACTGAAGCTTAAGCATTGAAGAATAAATACACAATTTTTTACAAATAAATTTCAGGTTGTTTGGGTCTCCCTTTGTATAAATACTTAGAACATTGTAGGTATTCAGTAGAAGGCAACTATTATTTAAATTCTTATCATATATAATATTCTTTAATTTCTGTCTGGGATTATCTATGAACCCGTTGAAATCATAGATATTTACCTACTTTTTGTGAACTAACTAGGCATTACTGATTGCAAATAGCAGAAGCACTTGGAGCTTCATTGAATAAAATTTGAAGGGAAAAAAAACTAACGTTGAGTGTGGGGAGTGTCGTATGAATGCAGGTTCATGAAATCCAACAATAGAAATGTTACCTGGCCTTAAGAAAGGTCTAGCCCAAGGAACTATAAAATTATCAGTAATCTCTCTCTCTCATCTCATCTGTTTTCTCTGCATATGTGCTTCTATTTCATTTATTTCGATACACTGGGTTTTTTGGCTTCTCTGACAAATATGAATTACGTATAATAAAATATCCCCACCCAAAGCTGTCACATTTTTACGTGGCCAGCTCTAGTTAACAGATAGTACTCTCTCAGTTCTTACCCAGAGCCCCAGGTGGAAGAATTGTACTCAGTCAGGCCTGTCACATGTCTAGTATTAATCAGTCACCTATGACAATAGGGAAGAAGTCACTCAAAATTAGGTCTGGGATCTACCACTCTTCAGCACCCCATGGCAATTGTAGGGCAAAGGAGAAGTTCACACAATAGAAACATCGCCCCAAAGGGAGACATTAGTTTCCAGGGAGGAAAAAGAATTATGAACTTGGAAGGAATATTTATAAACATACTGTTTTGGGAACACTTTTTTTTATTTCATACTTTATTAAAGTCTTCCGCTATAATATTTTAGTGATTTTTTTTTTTCCTAAAAGCAACGCAATGAGTACACATAAGGTTTAATACTTGGTTGATAGGCTGCTGGCAGCAATCTTTGAAGTCCTCAGTACCAAACTCAGATTAACACTCCAGACAGAGCTGCTCCTCTCTGCTCTGGTTTTAGACTATTGATTCCTCCATAAGGGGTAAGAAAAAAAAAAGTATAAGTGTTTCAATAACAAAATAATAGCACCATGCTGAGTTGACGGTGAAAACCTCGAAGGAGTTCTTAACTCCCAGATAAAATTTCTTAGAAAAGCTTCCCTTTATTATAAATCACACTATGAGTCAATTCACTCTTCAGACTTCTTTCTCCCCTGCTGGGTCTCAGCATTAAGTCTCTGACCACATAGAACGTATTTAGGTAATCAAATCCACTC